GTTAGCTATTTGTCTAGCTTTTCCGGTCCTGGTTAAACTTGCCTTTGAAAAAGGGTTTGTGCACATACGCCAACGTAAGAGAATTTACCCATTCTAAAGTAAAAACGTTATTTTATAGACACATTGTTATTTTAGGTTAGATTATACACACAGATATAAATATCGGAATCACCAACATTCCCTGAAATCATCATGACTAACATATCGATAGAAATAATGATCTTATTTTACATCGAACCCAGATCATCGGTCAGCAATTAATTGAGTAAAACAGAATGAGAACATTAAACTGTGCACATGTACTGAACACTGATAACGCTGAGAAACCCCGTGTACACTCGCGGGCAATTTATTGGGAACGATGCGAGTTTCGACAAATTACATTATCATAAACAGCTCTAATAATATACACTTCAAATGTAATGCTAAAATAGGGTACATTTCATTATAATTACAATAAATAAGAAATAGTTCTTAATAAAACACTTAATGGTTTAAAACGCGAAATAACACAGTCTTTACGTGACCATGGTTACTGCAAAGCATCTGAAACGTTAGTTAAAATAAAATGCTGTTTAGTTAATTTAGATATTTCAGGCTTAAATCCGTTAAAAGTGTTTTTTTTTAGTGTTCTACTAGCGTAAGTTACATTTCGGTTTGAAATAATACACATAATCTAGTATCTGTCTATCACTATTTTATGTAAGATTGTACTTGTGTAACAGAATAGGAAGCCTATCAATTTTTGCCGTTACGCGTTACGTAACAAAGCAGAATGCTCCAATTAAGAGTATTACTTTAAAAACTCTACACAATTTTATTTGCTACATACTTTTTATTTAGGATTTTATGTTAAGATCAATTATTTATGAAACCGCATTAATATGTCCAGCAGTGTAGCGACGCTGGAACAGGAGTCCGTCGTCCAAATAAAAGCTAACGAGCTCACAGTATACAGAACTTAGTAATGGTGTACACTTGAATGCAGAAATGTGCTCTTATTTTCATCATTGTTTTTATTACAACATAGAAGTTTCTAGGTATTTCTATAACGTTAATATATTAGTATAAATGATTAGCCGCGTTATTTTGGGCATTAATTGTTTTTAAACTTCTTCATCTTTACAAATAATAGCTGTTACTCACATCGTCCGCGCCCCGTAGTTCTTGTAAGTTCGTCTTAAAAGATATATACTGTCGTGGATATTTTTTTAGATTATTCAAAGAAGAATCATTATTACATAAATATCTATCTAAGTATCTTGTTGTTTTCGCAGCGGAACCGTAACCCTTAAGGATAAATAATCTTCCCTTCTAACGCGTTCTAACAAACAAACTCCTCTGATTTATATAAGTACGTATTTTTATAGAAACATGCTGGCTTTGTTTTGCAAAAAGTGAGTTCCCAAAAGTTATTAATGAAAAAGACTTGGACTTCAGCCATCCAGATCAGCTACACAAATTTTCAATTCTATCTTTAGAAAAATTTAATATTGAACAGATGTTACCGAGGAATAAATTATTACAAGGTGAAAACTCATTTCCGCCGCCGACTGTACCGTCGGGTGGCGTGGCGGTCTATCGGGCCAGATCACCTTCCCCAAGCGATAACCCTAAAAGCCCCACCAATATTAATACATCAAACACCCACGTGCGTGCATACAAACTATTTAATACTACGGTACATAATTGGTTTATCATAGGTACCTACTATGTTTGTAGAGTTTACTTTTCAGTTTAATATAAAGAATTCTATATAATTAAGGAAGCTTCATCTGCCGTTCATGTGTACACGTTAAATGAACACTTTTTAACGGTTTAAAACGCCTTATTAAAATAAATTTAAATAAAAAACTTTAACAGTTTAAAACGCGATATATTAGTTAAACTTATTTGGAAATGATTTTTAATGTGTACTACTCACGTAAACTATAGACAGTATTTAAAATAAATTTGTCTGTACGGATAAACATCCGTACAAATTTACTATATTTTTATAATAATATTATTTTATAGCATAGCTAGCATAATTCTCACGTTCAGCGTCGTGCTCACATCAATGTTTTTATTAAAAGCAAATTTACAAGGTTAGTTTAGTGAGCGTCCTATTTTTTACCTTTCTTGTAAATTATATTTAAGCGATATTAATAGGAAATAAATCAGTTGCATTACAGCACTCATTGGGTATGGTTATTTCGCCTCCCTCTTAACCTTTATCAAATCAAAGCTGTTAACTCTACAGCATAGCAGTTGCAGTACAGCACTCATTGGGTTTGGTTACTTCGCCTCCCTCTTAATCTTTACCTTTAAGCTGTTAACTCTACAGCATAACTTCAGCAAACACAAGCACGTATACTTTTCCAGACTGTTATACGCAACAGTCTCGGGTACCCGAAACTCGGGAGTATACGATAAACTGTTATACACTACATTGTCAATAATTTAAACCCGTTACAAGTGTTGTATTTAAAAATTTATTAAGATTACTTAATTATTACGTTATTGTTTATTCTAAATATATTATGAGAGTTAAGAAAATGTATACAGATACCTACTCACCTAAACTACAGACTATACTGAAATTATTTTGTATTTCGGATTGAAAAAATGAAAATGATTTAGTCTGTGCCTATTACTGTTTCATGTGCTGGGGTAAAAGAAAAGAAAGGTTATACAATTATTTTCGCGCTACGCAACGAATTATTATTATTATTTATTATTACAATATAAATAAGTTTACAGAGTTATTTTAAATATATGACCGAGGTATACAGGACATATCAATGTCCAATTCGGTAAGTAGCGCAAATGCACAGACAAATCGCGTTACGGTTTCAGTCTGTTGATTGCCGAATATCCAAAGCCAAAATAGACCGACAGTGCATCTTGTTTAGATGTTTTATGGCTTGTCCTTTATTATAAAAAACAAAACGGTAAAAAATGTAGCTTTCATAATGACTTTACATTATTTTTTTTCGACTAAGCTGACTTTCGCTTTTCACAACTATGTGTTATTTAGCACTAAAGCCGTCCGTTTCACCGTTGATTTAGTGGCGATAGTATTATAGTTCATCAACCCACATTGGTAGGTCAAGCCCCTTAAAACCATCTACAAAAACCCCCCTTCTGAAAGCAGTTCTGTGCTTAACACTGGAACAACAATAGGTTAATTCAATATTTTAAGTGTTTAAAACACGAAACATATATCATTTAACTCTTCCGCTGGATGCTTTTTAACAGCCATGGTCACGCGAAACTGGTAACTAATATCGCAATTTAAACCGTTAAAAGTGTTTAAATTAAATGGTTATACATAGGTTAGTTCAACAACTACTTTGCAATACTGCATGAAGACAACTTAACCATAAGCTTTTTCATACAAACGTTGTATTTTTAATACCAAGTAATTATAATAAGTCTATTTAAGTGACAGTAAAATACCACATAACAACACCATTTTATGGTCATGCGCACGCACCGTAGAGCTTTTAAAAACAGGTGGTTTGTATTCCCATAGAGGACAGGTTTAGTTCCCAAAGCCAATATACTAGACACGTGTTCGGATCAATATCTTATCCATTGGCGCCGGCGCCCATATATGGACAAGATCGAGGGGTGCGTTTGCGCAGACGAGCGTGTTAAACGCCGCGATTTTGTGTTGTGTTAGACCCGGTGGGGATCAAGCTCAGTACCATTAATTATTAGCCATAAATTGCTACTATTCTACCAACTAGCAACACCAAAATAAATAGAAACTGTACTAGAAGTAATCAAGCTAGATAAAGAGTTCTATATATTTAGGCACCTTTATGGCGTTGATTTTGTGAGTTATAATAAAGTTGATTAGCGTTTTTGTGTGTAGAAAAACGCTCGTTAACACAAACCAACCCCAGATCTATGCGGTATGGTAGCAATTCAGATAAAAACAATCTCTACAAATTGAACTGAAAAAAGTTTTCTCGTAATATTGCTTTTCTTTTTATCTACAACTTAGTAGGCGGGAGTTTTTAACAGGTTGCCATTTATCAATTTTTGTGCGTAGCTATATAATATGTATCTAAGAATTTAAATAAATATTATAAATTATTGCTAATTTGTTGTTGGATTACTGGGGATTATATAAAAAAGTATTAAAATCTCTACAAAAAGTATTATTTTACCTTAAGCTTTCTTGACCTGACAGACCTATTCTTAAATATTGAAAGCTAGTCTACAAGGCTCTATCCTACATCTATCTCTAGGCTACATGCGCAGTCTTATGCTGAAAACCATCGAAGCAAAATTGCGTTACAACTCATGCTAAGGCCCTAAAAAAGAGTTCTTTTTTATTTTTTTTAAATCGTGAATTTCCATTACTTTTTTTATTGTGAAAAAGGAGTAAGGTACGTAACTTTTAATGGTGAAACGCCAAATTAAATGATTTATTATTTGCTAATTTATTTTACAAAATGAGCTTGTAATTTCATGTTTACTTAGTAAATCGTTCTTTATTTCTTAAGAAAATTATTAGATGTATGTTTGTATCTATATAATTCCTTCATAAGTTTTCACTCAATTCTCCTATTTACATTTGTTTCGAAGTAATTCCAAAAACTATTCAACAAAGTTCTACGAGAGTTCTTTGACATTACAGCGTGAAAAAAATTTTTTTTTTCCTCTATATTTTTTCAGTTACACTGTTAGGTAGCTATTATATTCTGAGAAACTAAATCTATTATATTATGGATATACTTATTCTACTATAATCCAAAAAATCGAATGCAAGAAATGTGGCTAAGACAAGGAAACTATTTAATTTAGCAATTTGTTTGTGTGCAATAATCTATTGCTGAATATTTAAAGTTTAGTCTAACATAGGTAAAGGAAACTAAAAAATCAGTCTTCCATATTTATTTACAAAATGGCACGTAAGAAATTAAAAAAAAAACTTAACCTATACAAATTAATGAAAACAAATATAACAAAATAATACTCTTTGGCTCAGTCAGTCTATTTGATATCTAACAAATATAGTTATTGGGTGGATAATATTTCTTCATCTCCGTCTCTTTGTAACCTTCGTTCATCAATTCAGTCGTGTAAAAGTTACTGGTGCTACCGACGCCTTCGTCGATATAACGCGTGTATTTATCGTCTTCATAGTGGATACTGTCATCGAAATAAATAGTCGAATTAATGTCTTCATCCAATTGATTTTGCGGTTTGAAGTCTTCGTAATTTTGCATCGGTACCTTTTCCCTCGTGTCCGGCTTGAATAGTTTCCTCCCGAAAATCTTGTTAGGCTTCGCGTCGGTCGACGTGGAGACCTCCGGCGATTTTATCCTTTTACTTTTGTACCGTCGATTTTGGAACCATATCTTCACTTGCGTCGGTGTGAGGTTCAACTTCTTCGCCAGCTGTTCTCGTTCCGGTGCCGTCAAGTACCTTTGTGCTTTGAATCTTACTTCTAGATCGTGCACTTGGCTTTGCGAGAATAATATTCTGGGCTTCCGTTTCGCGCTTTTGTCTCTTGGCTTTTCTGGTTTCACATTTGTCGGAGTCTCTGTTGACAGAAAAAATACGATAAGTAAGGAATTACTATTGGGAAACTATGAGGATACTGTCTGTACTCTGTAGTTTATTTGTGTAGTACACATTTAAATAAAACACTTTAATGGATTAAAACGCGATATATATTAGTTAAAGTTATTTGAAAATTATTTTTAATTACTACAGCCACGGTCACGGGAGGGGGGAGGGGGGTCGCGGCTGCTGCAAAGCATCCGAAACGTTTCAGATCGCGTTTTAAACCGTTAAAGTGTTTTATGTAAACTATTAGGGTGTTTTTTAGTTTTGAAAAACTTACTACTAGTTTTAGTGGACATCGTTGAAAATTTGCTCTCAGCTGTTAGATAAGCTGGGGACGGTCCCATAACCGGCATATCTGTCTTCACCCCGATCCCCGGCGCTTCTATATCCAGATCGATCTTAGGCTGCACTATTTCCGGGTACTGTTCGTGATGATACAAATTGGGACAATACGAATTGTAATTATAATACTCCTTATTCTCGTGCTCCGCGCTCCAGTATTCCACATTCGGGTGTACGTACATCTGGTTGAAATACTCCGAACAATAGCTCCCCTGGTGGTAGAACTGGTATTCTTGGCTTCTGACGTCTCTCTCCTTCCACGCGTCAGTCCTCTCGTAATAGGGCGTCTGGTTTATGTTCAGGATGTCTTTGACTGAAAACGGTGTTGTTAGGCAGTTCTGCGCTTCCTCCATTTTGTTGCTTGCGTAGTCTTTTTTCTCGTTATTCGGATAATAGTATTCATTCTTACATTCGTAACTGAGCTTTACACTATTATTGTTGTACGAGGTGGAGACTTCGTTGTGCTGTTCGTAATTCATTTTGACACTGGCATCACTGAACGCTGAGGTGAACTAATTATGCTGTGGTGTTAGACGCATGTGGAGAAGGACTGATGGTTCCCGTGATTGAGCCCGAAGCCAATCCATGACGCCTGCTGTGTTATGGGCGTGGCTATGGGTTCCATCTGTCTTTGTTCAGCGTTTAGCTAACGGTGTTTGTGTCTCTGTCTAAGGGCTTTTCGCCTTTGGCGTGTAAAATGTAAATAAATGATGATATCATTTGCGTGTGAAGTTTACGTCTCATTTATTTTGTTATGTTTCGATGTGATTGTCATAAATTAATGCATACGTAGTAAATAAGTTCTTAAGCTAAATAAATCAAAAGTGGACTTGCAATATTATATAGGTAAAACTCTTAATTGCTTCGTGGTCCAAAATAAATTAAGACACAACAATAATTCCACGATAAAGCCGGAAAACTTATTTTAGTTGTTGTATTAATAAACGGATTGGTTATCTCATTTATTTATTAACATTGTTTTTAAGTCCGAATATCTCAAATATCTTTTTAGATGTTTATGGTTGAAAAAAACCACCTTAAGTGAAACTTGTGCCTGTCTGTGCCTGCGAATTCGTAGGTAGATAGGTATGTCATAAAAAATATTAGGATTTTATGTTATATAAACATAGTTTCCTGTTCATTTGTCATTTAAAGACTATGGTGGGAACTATTAAATGGCTAATGACAGATTCTAATGTAACGATAATGATGTAACCTGTAAGGTAAACATTAAATAAAGCGATTAAAACGCGAAATTATATTAATGCCCGTGACCAAAGCTACTGAAAGGCGTCTGAAACGTAGTTATAAATGACATTTAAAATATTTCGCATTTGAAACCGTTATAGGGTTTTATTAAACGGTTAAACAAACTGAAGCTTACATAAACAAATCACCTTCTTTCCTTTGCGTCAGTTCAGAATGATCCCAAAGCAATGGAGCTTATTACGACAGCGTCTTGACGTTGTTATAAACAAACTCTTCGACGGCACCTTTCAATTTCCGATTCTTGTAAATAAACCTTCGGGGCACTTTTGGGAATAGAAATGTAATCGTTCGCTAAATGAAATGTGATGACTTAGTTTGTGGAACAATTGATATTAAACCTATACTTTTTTAATTCAGCCTGGCTGAAAAAGAAAAAAAAAGGATATACATTTTGACGGGGTCCTTGATGTAATAGTAATCTCATCTCATCTCGTCTCATCAATCAATAATCAACGGGTCGTCTATTCGATCCCCACTGGGTCAAATGTTTCTAATTGATTTAAATGTTTTCTAAAACATGCTGAAGTTCGTCTGATGCTAATCTGTTCTTTCCACAGATTATATCCTATCGTATAGGAAATACCTATTGTATATGTACCTACCGATCACCATCACGGTAAAGTGGCTAAATATGTAGACTAACATTTTAACCACGTCAAGTTTCCTGGGTTCGAAGACGTGGCAAATATATTAGTTTCATTAATTTAACTACGTGCATCAAAATCGAACCGAAATTACTTTTATTAATATTATTAGTTAATTGACAAGTAGGTTTTAAGCGTTGACAGAGATAAGTATCTTTACATTTCCTTTGGAAATGTCTATAATAATGAAGATTTTATAACTTCCAATAATCAGAAAATATCAATATTGAGTATTGATATTTCTGAACCAGTGATTCCCAAAGTGACCTATATCGACCGCTAGGGTCTATGACCACCTACAAGTGGTCTACGTCAGCGAAAAAAAAATTGGGGGCCCATGAAACGAAAATGGGGGTCCAGGATCTCAACACATACACAGATAGCACCTATTTACTTACATCATACTAGCTTATAATATCAAAACATATAGGTACATTATTTATAAAAGTACCTATGAAGTAAAAAGTAGGATGTTGGTATTCGCTTTGTGGTTCAAATACATTTAAATATACAGTAGTTTTTGTTGAAATTCAATTAATAAATGTATGAATGAACATGTGTTTTTACTTTAAGTTTTTAAGAATAAACTTCACTACGGTTAGAAATTTACAGGAAATCAATATCAGGTAAGTAGGTAAGTCTATCCAATGTGGAAAAACATGGCAAGGGGGCGACACAAAAAAAATTGGGAAACTCTTCTATATACCAACCTAATCTACCTTCTAATATACATGCCTATTAAGTTACTTATAATTTAAATTTAACGTCTTTAAACGAGGTAATCGTCTACCAACTTCTCGACAAGCCTTGCACAGTGTTAGTAACGATGGAAACCAATTTTTACACCTAAAATAAAGGAATAGGATTGTACCCTGCTTAAGAAAGCGTGCCTCAGCCGTAAAATTAATTGCAAAGTTATTAGGAGAGCCCTAAAAACTTTACAGACCAATAAAAATGACACAAAATTCAGTTCTAAGTAAAAAAAAAACAGTAAAACATAATAGCAGCTTCCGTTTGTAATGTGATAGGTTTTTTTATCAACTGGGGTATAAGTTCTGAATGGACCGAAGGGTCAGTATTTTTTATATGATTTCCCAATAACTTCCTTTTTTCGTTTTCATGCTTAAACATTGACGAACTGTCAATTTATGTTTAAGATTCCTTACGTAACGTACAATTAATTTAACAAACTAATCACTTCTTACAACAACTTTAATAATAAACTTATAAATCAAATTAAAATTGTATATGTAATACAATTTTTGTCTTCCGATACCACGGTTGCATAGCTTCCGAAACGTCGAGCCGTGGTTAAAAAAATTTAACTAAATTATGTCGCGTTTTAAACCGTTAAATGTGTTTTATTTGAATGTGTACCTACTACACACACAAACAAAATGTAATAATTAATTAAACTTAAAAAAAAAATTACTGTATAAAAGGAATAAATCCTTTTAAAAATTGAGGTAACTATTTACCTCTTTGATTGGTACATACAAGGGGTAAATTTTGATGGATATTGCGCTTCTCACACTCACATTAGTCGCTCAATTAAAACTATAAAGTAGAAGTATTTAGCACGTCATAAAAACAATTTACGTCAAAGATGAAGTGCTTTAACTTCAAAAACTCGTAGAAAACTTAACATTTTCAAATAAAAATGCGATTTTATGGCCTTGTTAGTTAAGTGTGTTAACATAATTTTTAAATATGGCTGTGTTTGCTTTCTCACGGCGTGGAAAAAGAAATTGCGCTTCTATAATTTTATTATGAGTCAATGTTATGTTATTATTAAACCTAATTATGGAAACAGGACCGGCCCCGTAGGGAAAAGTTAAGCGCCTTGCTAAAAGAGGTCCTTGGTTCAAATACGCGACATTGGTCATTGAACAAGAATTTGAACAACTACTTGCCTGTAAGTATATTAAATCGATGTGTTCGTTTGGGGACAAAAGATTTACACACGATATTCATGAACATATTAATATAAGAACGCATTTAAGTATTCTCATAGACGTCATAGGTCTTGTATTTTTTTTTTGGCTAATTATTTCGAAACGTTTTTTTTTCGTTTGGTTAAGGGACGATTTTTATAACTTATTCAGGGCCATCTATTGATGAATTATGGACGAGTAATGATTACCTGCCATCTATCGTCGAATAGACACACTGAGATGCATAACGAGGATAAATGATTTATAAATATTTGATTGTAGCAAGAGATGTCATTAAAACAAATAAGTAAATGTCTTACAATAATTCCGCTAGATGGCTCTTGTTTTATATTAACATAGTAATTAAATTGTTTCGAAAAATAAATTACAAAAACAAATGATAAAGATTTGTAATTTGCCTAATAGATTTATTGATTTTGCTTAAAAAATAAAGTAAGTTTTAGTTTTACATAATACAATTTTATCTTCCTTTAATTTTCAGCCAATATTAAAAAAATACAATCATATTAAAATATTTTGTACTGACTTACTGTGCAGAAGCATAATATTGTGTTCAGTCATAATCTTGTCCTGTAAACTTCTTATCATTAAAAAACTTAATTGCATAAAAGAAAAAAAAACCTTAATGAGTTCGAGCTAGACTTAACGAATCTTCACATCACTAACCAATTAGGCTAAATCATTTAAAAAATGGAACACGAATCATGTCCCAAATTATCCATTTATTAATGTTATCGAACGATCGACCACCCATCGTGACAAACGATTAGAACAATCGAATTATTCGATTATTTTAGTCGAGTGGATCGGTTCGGCGATTCCCTTTGCGATAGATGACTGGCGGAAAGAATTGCGCGTGCGGCCACAGTTGCACATGATTAGTTAATCACGAGGTCCATAATTAATCTTAATATAAGAACAATGAAGATACTTAGAGCCAAAGTAAATTATGTATATACAATTAATTTGTCCATGGAAAATTCTTTGGTACTAAGAGGGTACTTAGATTGTTTAAAATGAATTCTTAATATTTAAGGGGTTCATGCAAGTAACGCCATTGTTTTATTTCATTTCCTTTCTTTAAAGTAAAATCCCGTTACCCTGTGGGGCACGGGGCGAACACATTTCTGGGTCCGTTTCACTTATCAATTAACAGACAAGTCGTTGATCAGACTTCTGTGCTCTGCCTAACCGAAACAATGTATTGTTTTCCCGGGATTCGAAATTAGGACCGCAATGCTAGGCAACATGTTCATGTTAGCTATAGAGGGGTCCATCTTCTTAGATACCGATAATTTGAATAGAAGTTGATAGAAGCAGTATAAGTATTTATTGTTTTTTTACAGCCTCTATTAAGTTTTTTGTATTGTTTTTTAAATATACAGTAGAAACTAGTTGAAATTCACTACTGCTTTTCACAAGCCAAATACGTTTTATCTTCCTTCTACCATAAATTAACTATATTTTGCTAATTCATATATACAATGGGCTATTTGACTCATTTTTGAATGTACTTTATATTACATATTTGGTAGGTGTTAAGAAAAAAGTGGTAGCTTTGAATTCTGATACATATTTGCTAAAATATATATGAAAATCGAACAATTAAATTGCATCCCTAAACGCTGATTTTGCGTAATAACACTGCTACACGGCTAGTGACGTCACGGCCTTATATTGGCCATTGGTGTATGTCGATCACTTGATATACAATCCACATGCATTTGTACCAAACATTCAAATTTGAACAGTGATTGAAGTAATCAAATGAATTACAGATTTATTTATTTATTATTGCAGTGAATAGAACAGCTTTAACACTATGAAGCATGGTGGTTAATAGTACCGTTTATAAGCAAGTGACGTCATTAAACCGACCTTAACATTAAATCAGGAGCGTTTTGTGTCACGCGACAAATGTTTTAAAAAGCTAATTTTTATTTGCAGTTTTTTATCAAAGTCAATTATTATTTTTAACCTGTGTTTAACCTACTATTTCTAAACCAAATACCGAAAACACATTGACGATATATTTTTCGCATTGTCAAATAGCTCATTGACACATCTGTGACACGACAGCGTCACTTCATATGGTGAAAATGAGCGGCATAATAACGAAAGTGCTAAGTCTACCCGTGCAGTTCCCACTCATCCGCGGCATGGTGTCATATGCCATAATCTGGCCGACATGCAGCATCACCCAGGATTACATAGCGAACGGCACGCCCATACAAAACGCTGACTGGAACCGGGCCGCTCGCTTCGGCTTCTTCGGAACATTTTTCATGGCACCCGTATTCTACGGCTGGTTGAAGTTCTCAAGTCGGTTCTTTAAACGGAAAAATCTATACACAGCTATAAAGAGGGCGCTGATAGAGCAAGTCTCGTATTCCCCGCTTGCTATGGCGTATTTTTTCTTCGGCATGAGTCTGTTAGAACGAAAGCCGATAGCGAATTGCGTGAAGGAGGTGAGAGAGAAGTTCTGGCCGACGTACAAGATTGGCGCCATCTTCTGGCCCACAGCGCAGACTATAAACTTCTATTTTGTATCCGAGAAGAATAGAATTGTGTTCGTCAGTGCTGCCAGCTTCGTTTGGACGATTTATCTTGCGCACATGAAAGCTAAGAAGCAACAAGCGGAAACTTTTGGTGGTGATGGGGAAATTTGAGGTTTTATTAGTTTATATTATATGTTTTTTTTGTAATTCCTCTTATTATTTTAGACGACGGGCGTGTTATTTCAGTTACAAAGTGATAATTTCTCAAGCGAAGGTAAGCTTAACCTAACAGAAGGAACAGCTTCGTTATGTAACGCGTTACGGCGACTTTCTTTGATGTTGTTGGCGTCATGGTACAGTTATTATATATTGGTACCTGAATGAAATAGTTATAGTAAAATGTTATTAACTAACACTGCTAATTCGTGAATAATTACTTCTATGCCAAATTTAAAAAAGTGATTTAAGTATCGATCGATCTTTCACATCGGTCTATACCGGCTCTGTAGCTAAATGGTTAAACGTGTCCTGGGTTCGAATTCCGGAAACAATAGATTGTTGCGGTCGGACAGGTCACAAATTAACTACTTAGGTTTCATTTTCATCGATCCGTAAAAGTAGATACAAGAGCAAAATAAAACAATACAACTAATTACTAATGGGGCCCTTTTTTTGAAATTTTGGAAGGCGAAAATCAGTGACCACAGTAGAAAAAAATACGTAATTAGGCTTTTTATTGAGGCTTATGTGTCGGTTTTTCGACCTTTTATGTAATTTAACTCTAACTAAAATAAAGACACTAAACGCGAGCAAAGCAACGATAAACGGCTAGTACCTTATGAATATGTACACATTTGTATCAATATTCTGACATTCAGAACCCATCCACTGTGTCTAATAACAGAATAAAACTTATCATAGAATGCTAAAGGGTCGATAATCGTTGGAATTCCAGAAAAGAAAAATATGAGAATTAATAAGGAGACTGCATTTTTATGAGGCCGTAGCTTTTATTGGTGTTATTAATCATGCATTGTCAACGCTTGAATTATGTGTTATGGGCCTATGTTATGGAGTGGCTTTTTTTCTTGTGATTTATCGATAATGTAAAGGGTTTTTTGGATGGCTTCTGGGTGGTTATGGGTACTTGAAGATTATGATTCTATGCAATAATTCTCTGTAATTACTGATGTATGCTTTAAGCAAAGGATACTAAGAAATACTTCGATTGTTACTTAACAATCGAAACGTCCGACGGAAACAAGCATCCGAAACGTCGGGCCGAAGTTAAAAATAATTTTCAAATAAATTTAACTAATATATCGGGTTTTAAACCGTTAAAGTGTTTTATTTAAATATTATCTTTCTTTTCAAATGTATGACAATCAAACACTTTATAGGTTAGAGATACCTGCTAAGTTGGTCGTTGGTTTTATATTCAGTTCGCATCGGATCAATAGTCAATACTAAGTTATCTCTTGAATTTATCTTACGTTTTAAGTAGGCGTGCATTTTAATAAGTTAATTTCTAACAATCTACATTATTACTCGTATAAAGATATCAACGTAACATAATACATTTAAAATTCGTTCGTGAAAAACAAACCGATTAATTAGTCCGATAATATGTTGGTCGCTACCGTCCGAATTTATACGTTTGGCCCACAAAAGCGCCGAAACGGGTCTGTTTTAATGATCTTGCGTCGCACCGGACTAAAAAAACTCGCTAAAAAATGCGTAAACTTGACCCTTAGTGAAGACATCTAATAGAGCTGTGAATATAATGATAGTAGTATTTGCAAGATGTCCATTAATTATTCACATTTCATCGGTAACTCCATATATCCATACAACTTGATGTCAAGATTATTAATGTGGCATCGTCAGCTTTCCGTGCTGTTGCTCTACCAATTGTGCTACCGAGTCAGAGTTGGTTCAAGTCCTGCCCGAGTCGAACATTTTTTCAATTTATTTTCGTTTTTAAACTAGAATGTTATCTAGACTAATATTATAAAGCAGTTTGCTTGTACGAACTACTGGCTTGAATTGAAAAATTATGTTGATGTTTGTTAGACCATTTATCAACGAAGGTTTTAGGCCTACCTAATAATATTTAAAGCTAAGTCTTTTTTCCAAAAATATAATGTCAAAAATAACGATTTCACGCAGACAAAGTCGCAGGCACAGTTACTACATAAAGGGTAAGTACATATTACATTTTTACTGTGCTATTACTAGAATGTAGTTTAAAGCACCAGTTGGCAATTGTAATAACAGCTCTATACAATTATTCGAAACCACTATTTTACGCCACTCTACCGAACCTTATTTTGTTCAAAGATAACCAAATCACAAGACATAAAGTTAGGTTTTTGTCACAAAAAGCCTTCGAAGACCTCTCCTCACCTGCTGTGTCACATTATTTATTGTTGAGCATTTCTCGGGCGACAAAAGAACGCCGAATTTCTTTCAATCCCGTAGTAATTGATTTAATTTCTGACATTTTATAATTAGTGTAAAAAATGGTTTTCGGTGGCGGTTTTTTGCGATTCCCAGAATTCAGTTATAGAGTTGTTGGGGTTTGGGAAAAGGGACATTTTGGGACTTTGTATCCGACTACTTAAACCTTTGAAGGCACCCTTAGCTTTGAAATACAAGTATATCGTGTGAACAGTAATAATAGCGTATAAAACAAAATAAGAGCCTACTGTGAGAGGGTACTGTGCCAAAATTATTGCATTACTCATTATCAAATGTCCCCCTGATAGTTCTATGGCCGTTTTACTGCTTGATTTTGTTATAAGCTATCTGTATACTGTTCTTCACACCTTTTTAGCCACTTAGTTAAAAACTTGTTGTATGGAATTAGAGGTACTGAGTTCGAATCCCGAAAAAACGTTAGATTTTTTGGTCGGGCAGCTGCCTTTAAATAAAAATGATCAATAAGTAATATCGAAATTCGTCTGGGTCACAAACCACCGTCCACAGATGAAAAAGCCGTGATATTTAATCACGTTTCGGTTTAAGTGTGTGGATTTCCAAAGCCAAAATACTAGATGATGAAAATATTCACCTACGATCAAGGGAACTCATCATCATCGGAATCTAAGTCAATTCCAGAAATGTTATATCGACTAACTCATTCTTTACTTAGTGAATTATAGGGCCTTAAAATATTAAGTAAAAGCAATTACAAATAACATCTCCTCGTGCCCAATAAAACGGGCAACCACTGCTAGTGGCAATAAAATGAAAATTGACAATAATTGCTCGTGAACTTGTAAGGACGGAATAAAAATAATTATTAAGTAACTCCGGGCAGGATGAAGTAGTTTCAATGTTTTATGGTCAATTTTGTTATTAGGGTTCCCTCGTTACAAAATGTGGAGCTCGAAAGTGCATTTAATAGAACAAAGATTACGATTACCTATTCGTATTCATAAAGGAAGAAGAATAAATATTATGTGGTATACATTTTATTTGCTTTGATAAATATAATTACTAAAGATTGGATTTTAAAAAATACAACACGGGCGGGAATCAAACCGACATCCACAGCGTTCCGTGCTGTTGCTCCAACCAATTGAGCTACGGGCTACACGTCATCGACAAATTTTTCAACCTATTGATAAATAGTTTAAAGTATTGTAGTTTACGCCAGTAGCACACATTTGAAGCATTCATAACGGTTTAATAAGCGAAATATATTTGTTACTACTCATAATTTATTTTGACAACAGCCCCACGTTAAGGTTACTTCGCAGCAGTGGTCACGGGTAAATACGACAACCAATATATTTCGCATTTTAAACAGTTACAAGCATTTTATTTAAATTTTATTGAAAATAAAAACTCGAAGCGAAAAGACTAAAAGCAGCCGTGGTCACGGGGAGACACGGCTGCTGCAAAGCATCCGAAACGTCGGGCCGATGTTAAAAATCATTTTCAAATGAGTTTAACTAATATATCGCGTTTTAAATCGTTAAAGTGTTTTGTTTAAATGTGTACTACTCGCGTAAACTATAGACAGTATTTAGACTAAAAGCTGTTATTTAAAATTCAATACGTACTTTAGTGTTTAATAAATAATTAAGCATTTAATTTTTTGATATATTTAAGAACATTTCCCACATTTTTCGTTTCACGCTTGACCGTTTCTTGGCTATAACCATTTGCAAAGCAATTTTCTTTTATATATTATTTATCATTTTATGGCATTAAAGCGAATAAACATAAATACAACCTATTTTAGTCTCCGATTAAGTATTTAAAGTCCGCTAATTGCTCGATTACGTTATAATTAAACGTTGTCTATTACACGATGTATTTAAGCATAATATAACTAGTGAAATGGTCCTCTTTGTAGTAAATAGGGTAAGCACAATTCTGTGATTTTTCATTGTACACAATGCTCGAAGCGTGAAGTCTCGGGTTCTAGTCGCAGTTAAACATGATAAATAGTTTGAGTCTAGCAGAACATAGCCTAACTAGTGGCTTTTGAATAACTTAATTGTAAAACAGACATAAAAATGTGTCTTTTCCATACTCCGTATAAGTTAGGTAAGATTTTAATATTATTATATTTAATTATTATGCATATTTAAGCAATCTAATTTTATTAGTCGAGGAAGGTTTTAGGGGATAAAACATTAGTTTGCGATCTATAGTAGCGAAGTAACAGTGGGAAATATAGAAAAAACGGGGACATTTTCGAGGCTCCGTTGCGTGCACTGCGAAAACGGTTCAAGATACCCAAAAAATATTAATAAGCAATTATCAATATATGTTTATCATTCAATATTAACTTGTAATAACGACGGGACGCGACCGACGTCGTGAGCAATAGTTTGAATTTATAATGAATGTTTAAGAAGAGGTTTAAATACTGTCTATAGTTTACGCGAGTAGAACACATTTAAATAAAACACTTTAACGGTTTAAAACGCGATAAATTAGTTAAATCTTATTTAAAAATGGTTTTTGTCTGCCCGTACCCACGGCTGCTGCAAAGCATCCGAAACGTCGGGCCGAAGTTAAAAATCATTTTCAAATAAGTTTAACTATAATATCGGGTTTTAAACCGTTAAAGTGTTTTATTTAAAAGAGGAGGTTTTTAAAGACAAATTTGGATACCCATTCTACGCGGGCGAAGTCGCTGACACAGCTAGTAC